AAATATCTTATTAAATGGCAAGATGGTGTCTAAAGACCAATGCAATGAGAATCTTTAGATGAGTTTTCTTTTTATATTACAGAAGTGTCCAGTGTCCTGTTCAGCCCTGGTGACACAGCATATAAGCTTAGGGCTTGATCCTGGGTGGTCTGTGGAGAGTGAGAGCATCAGGAGGAATGAGATCTCCTGTCTCTGCTGCTTCCAGACCATGCAAAGGGTGCCACAGTGAAGCATGCCTATTCTATGGGAACTACCTGAATAAGATGTTTCTTGGGTGGGCTGGTTGGTGCACCCAGCATTGCTCTAAGGCTGGTTGCATTACTCAAATGGCCGTATAGCTTGCATGGAGTGATCTGCACTTGCTTCAGTGCAGCACTCCCTGGCATGGCTCTGTGACAGTGTACATGCACTCACAGAAGTAACTGGCTGACGTCACTCATGAGACGCCATACACTTCATTTTGTGATCAATGTTCCCTGCCTAAGCAGTGGTGGAGGTAGGACATGGGACTGCATAGAACTTGGCAAGAAGCTACATAACTGGAAGGTAACTGGAAGACTGTCTTGAGATGATGGGGTAGGTGGATGGATTGCAGATAGTACCAGGGCTGAGCACTGTAGATAGGCAGATGGGTCTCCACCTAGGGTTATGGTAGTCTCAAGGTCTACCAAGTGAGGATGCCTCTGGTAGGTAGGGATCTTGGACCTTACATGCATTTTGTACCCTGTCAAGTGGTGTCATGTAATGCAATTAATCAGACTAATAATAATTCTGGTAGTCCATCATTATACAAATCTTCCTTTGGTAACTCCAGTAAATTTTGAGTAGCTTATTTTAGAGTAGGCTTTTTTTCGTTCGCATGTGCCTAGTGCACAGTAATCTCCTACGTTTGTCAATATTTGATATTGAGCCATGGATATGGATGTGAGTTTGGTGCACATCAAACAATTTGTATCTCTCAGAGTAAAGGGGCCTTCTCTCTGCCATGCCTATCATAGGAGATGATGATTATAATGAAAGTAAGCTAAATAATTTACTTTAATTTAGTAAACACCACAAATTAATATTGTTCATGTGGGAAGTGGTTACATTTGGCATAAATAATTACATTGAAACTGATTCTCCAGCCCCTAATCATTTAAATTCATTGGAATTTTACTTGAGAGAAGATTGAAGGTTCAGGTGCAAATTTTCTTTTATCTAGGTTTTTCTGCAATGCATAGACATGCACCTAACTTCATTGAACTCTCCTTTACACTGATGCCTTTAGGACATAGGTAGTTCTTTCTTCTTCTAACTTCCAAACCTCTTTGTTTGCTCATGCTGTTTTGCCAGCATTTTCCTGCATTTGTCATAAGCAGAGAAAGGTAATTCACCATGTTGGTCTGAAGTTAGGCAAGGCAGAGTGGTACCTTTCTGAATGAGTTAGTCTCTAAGGTACCATCCTGCTTTGCCTTCTGCCTCCATTGGCTGTGATTACTATATGATGAGTCTGGGCTGCATGAGACTCATGGCAGTGCTGTGGTTATGTCATAGTTCACTGCTCTATAGCATATTCCTAATTTTTTTTTATATTTCTGTTACACATGTTTCTAGCTATTCAGCACTGTGTTGGAGTAAAGTGTCCTATGTCAAAGTGACATCAGGCTGGTTTCATTACTTTATTACCTGTGAATCGCATTGTATTTATGCCATGTGGAGGTTCGGCAGCAGACTTAGAGCTTTAAGCTCCTGTTGCCATGGGGAAGGAAAGGAAAACCAGAAAAAAACAACCCAAAGATTTAATTTTTGTTTTATGACCAATTCATCTTGCTATCCTAGGGTATGGACATATGAGCAATGCAATACAAAGCAAAAGAGACTAGGGTTTTACTCTGAATTAGATGCTCCATGATAACAGCCTGTGTGCATGCTCTTATTCCTTGGTAAGTGGAAGCTAACTATGGTAACTTATCCTTCTTTCACTGAGCTACTACAGATTAACTTGCATTTACTGCAGGGTATGTGCATGCACATGGGCAACTACCATGGAGCTGTCTGATGCTTGGTAAAAGAACATCTACTTTTTATCCCACAGTAACTTGTTTATATGTCTACACATTTGCTTGAAAAGAGACCCACAAGTGAATTGACTAAGGACCAGGTAGTTGTTGAAGTTGAGCAGCACTTTAACTGCATGAGTAAAACCATTGATTTCAGATTTTCTTACTACACAGTGAGAATAAAAGACACATTATCTGACCATAAAGAACAGGCCTAGTGTATATTCCAAGCCAAATTTCTATGCCTGGAAAGTCTTTAACAGAAAGTTTTTACTTTCCAAATATTTATATATTGGACTACATGAATATTTCTATCAAAGTGCCCAGTGATCAATAGATATGAAGGGTTTTATTCCTTTGAATTTCCTAAACTGCACAAACTGCTAAAATAATAGTATTCGCAGTGCGTTTGTATATGTGTCTGTGTCTGCGTCTGTCTACATTAAAAAAAAAAAAAAAAAATCTTTCTAAGAAAGGATGGTATGAAAATACCAAGAAAAAATGTCACCTTTTTAGTAAGCTGCTGTAACACTCATCACAGAAAAGATCTTTAGGAAAGGCTAGAGTGTCCTTTTTAGGTAGAATTTCCCCCTCAGAATACTTCAGGTGATTATGGTATTCCAAAGTTTTTAAATTTCCTAGCAAGTCTGTTAAAAGATTGAATATTTTTGCATCCTGTCACATTGATCATAAACTTGAAACTGAGGACTTGAAAAGTTTTCTACTACAAAGACATTAACTAGGAACAAAGATGAATAGTGAGGGGAAAAAAAGGGAAAAGTCATTCCTTAAAGGAAGTTTGACGATGCCTTAAGGGATTTAAAGAAATGTGTTGGGGGGTGTGTGTGTGTGTGTGTGTGTGTGTGTACAGGTGACCCTCACCATTCGCAAATAAGGCACTGTGTTCATGCATGCAGTGCTCCTGGTGGCTGGGGTGGGGGGATGACTCCGGTGGTGGTGGTGGTGGTGGTGGGAGTGCAGTGGCAGCAAGCATGGAGGTCCTGAGGAGCTCCTGTAGGTGTATGAAGTGTATTGAAAATGCAGGCTTGGCATTCGCAAATATTTGAAACCGCAAATGCCGAATCTGTGAATAGCAAGGGTTTCCTCTGTGTGTGTGTGTGTGTGTGTGTGTGTGTGTGTGTGTGTGCGTGCACATGCACATACCTTCCTGCTTATAGTGGGGGTTATTCATTGTGAGTTTTTAAAAGTATGTGAGACTCTCATTGGAGGAAAATTGGTGAGGGAATCTGATATCTTTAATGCAGTCCTATTTATTCTCAAAGGATATACAAAGTTTTACTTCCTTGAATACAGGAAGAATCAGACAAACAATAATTTACAGTTTCTTGCCTCCTTTGGTCAGTACTCAGCCCAAAAGTCTCTGTCTCAAGGCCAAACTCTCAGTTCTTTTTCAGCCTGTGTCTAGTCTTATGCTCCTTCCCTGTCACCATTTCCATAGTGCTTTTCCTGCTTGTAGTTGAGCGCAAACCTTCTGTTTAAATGAGAGAGAACCAAGCCCTTCTTCCCCATATGGTTCAAATTTCCAGATGGCCAAACATGGTCCTTCATTTTGGATGGTGAAATGTGGTTGTGTTTGAAGTGAAGGCTGGCATTGTTTTATAAAGGCACTTCCCTGTCTTACAGCTCTCTAAGTGAAGGGCAGCAATTATGCCACCATCCTCAGAGATATTTTGCCCAGTCCACACCAATATTCATCTTAGCACTACATACAGATCATGCATCAGAATCAAGAATGTCATAGAAATATGTTGAGTCCATTTGTTCAGAGGTCTGACCCCATGGTAGAAATGAAGTATTCCTTTTATGGTCCTGAGAAAGAATCAGCACTTTATAAAATGAAGGTCTGGTCCTGATGTTACATTCAGTTTAGTGGCAAAAGTTTCAGTGGGATTGGGCCATCAGGTTGTTAGTTGGCAAGATGATAGTGCCAGATCCTTATACCAGGTTGCATGAGCTGAGGATCTGGGTCAAAGTTTTTGAGTTTGGGAGAATTAAATTTGTAGACTCTTTCCCCCCACAGCTATTTTGTGTTATGTCACTTGATCCGCTAGAAAATAAACAAACCCTTCTAGTATCTTAGCTTGGAGTTTATATTGAACACTCTTTTGCACCTTTTTTTAGATTTTCTCCATCTCAAAACCCACAAAGCCTTTTCATCTCGACCTCTCTTTCCTCCAGACACTTGTGTTTATCCTGAAAAGAGTGAACACAGTTTAGGTATGCATGTGCCTTCTTTGTCTTCCAAGGAATTTATACTGAGGAATGAATTTGGCTCTTTGTATTTATTGTAAGGGACCAAAAGTATTTATTCCTTTCCACATTTCTTGGCTACCACCTTCAACTGCAGTTAATCACGATGCTTGCATGGTCAGCACATTCTTTAGAAAGAAAGAATCCGCCCTTTCAGAACACATGCATATTGCAAGGGATATTTTCAGCAGTGTGCAGCTATAATCAACAGAGCTCAGCTTGGCAATTTGAATCCTTTGCTGTCTAGTTGGAGGCTGCTTGTTATGCAGCCAGCATTCACTCAACATAATGGTTGCTACCTGCCAATGTGCTTTGAGGGATATTGTTAGCATTAAATTTGCCATTTACATTTTCATGTTTGACATAATTGAGGAATGAATGCTCTTATAAAAATTAAACTTGTGGTCCTCCTGGGCTACTGTAACCCTGTTAAAATGTAATGCGATTCTTGATGCGTCTTCTTTAGGTTTTTATTAAATAGAATATCCGTATGACTAATTCCCCTGGCCTAAATGTAGGCTGGGAAGGAGCATTATTGATAGGGCTGAGCACAAATGGCTCTCTATACTCAGCCTCTAATGGCCTAATAATGCATTATACTTGAATCAGAAATACTTTGAGTTGTAGTGCTTATTGCCATTATTGAAAACACCTGGATGCTCCATTCATCAAGGTTACAGCAAAATGGGCCCATTTGTTTATTAGTCTGTCAGTAAACATCTTTATTTAGTTTCATGTTCCACTGCTTTCGGTTACATTGGAGGGAGGACAAGACCATCAAGTGCATCTTTTTGTGGTTTCCCATTATTAGTTTTCTCTGAAAAAGAAAGATAATGAAAAGTTTGGATGGCTTCATGAAGAATACATTTTTCTCAGCCATTTTTTTTTTTTTTCTTTTGGAAGATGAGAATAAAAACATGAGAGATCATTGGTACAATCTGTAGAGCAAAGCTACTGTAGCAGATTAACTTGTCTGATAGAAACGTAAAAAGATGGATCAATAGCAGTGCAGACTCCACTGTAATGTGTTCCCATTGCTTCAGCCCATCCTAATTCAAGATTTTTTCTTCACATGATGTCTTTTGCACTAGGGACAAATCTTAAAGGAAAGATGGGAGGAAAGATGTTTGTATGATCAAGGTACATACCCAACCTGGGACCATGGGGTTTCCGCACCTGCCCTTGTCTTCCTGTATAATACTAAGCAAGTCATTTGAATCCTTTGGTTTTGGTGCCTCAGTTTTTCTATCTGTAAATGGATTAAGTAGTTAACATTTGTAAAGTGCTGTGAAGGTAAAAATTGTTCTTGATTTAAAATGAAGATGATTCTAATTTTCAGATTAAACTGAAGAGAGCTGGTTGAATATTTTTTTTTTTATCCAACCTTTCAATGTAGCTGAAATCACATAGGGGGATAGTTGGTTATAAAAATATCAATTTTTGACTAAGGTTTTGACAATTTTTTACTTCAAATTTTTAATGGGGGAAATTCAAAATTGAACTTTTGACCTGACATTTTAAAATCTTCAAAATGTTAACATTTTGAAATGAAATGTTTCATTTTAATTGATATAACATTTTCAGATAAAACAAAGGATACTGTTAGGTCTGTGAAATCTTTAGATATTTTGTTTTTGATTTTTTTTTCTCCCCCCCTGCCTCTGAAGGAAGGCAGATTTTGAAATTTTGGAATATGCCATGGACCAAAAATCTGTTGTTGGTTTCTTCTTTTTTGGGGGGAGGAGGGGGTTAATAGCTCTAAAACTAGACACAGCGGATTTAAAAAAAAATATAGCATTGATCATAACAGATCAAGAATTACTTTAAAAATGACTTGAGTGTAGGAATGAACAAAACCTTTTGGTGGAATCCATCTAATTCATGCTGTGCACTGTAAATTAGTGTGTGGACCAGAAGTACATTACAGCCTGTAATAGTTACTCTTCATGCTCTCTGCAATTCACTTCCTAGTGCTGCATACAGCAGCAATGTGGTAAGCAGCCTTTTCAGTGTGTGGTTATGCCTAGTTGGCAACTGTAGAAAACTCACAGCAATTGAAACCATTTGAAAAAACTCTTATATGACAATCTTTAAAATGTTTATGCTGCTTTAATTGATGATGAAACTGCTGATTTCTGCTCAAATACAGTCATGCTTGTAAAAATAGGCATTATATGTTTTTTAAAGATGTAGGACTCTAAAAAATAATCAGAAATAATAAACAGGAGTAAATATAGACATTGGGAGGCAGCATCCCTAGTTGTATTGGGTACTAGAGTCTGAAAGCATCCACTGAGCAGATAAATGCAGTACCATGTAGGATTGAGCCAGCCTCCTCTAACTAAACAAGAACTTTTCTCAGTGAAGGATGGGAAACACAGCATTATAACTGGGGATGCTTCATTGTATGTAGCATCATATTGTGGTATGTGGGCTTCTGGTAAATGCCATCGTTGTGTTTATAAAGGCAAGGTATAAGCTCTAGTGCCAGGTTATAGGATTGCTAGCTCAGCTCTCTATTATATAAACAAGAGGGGATAGAGAAAGTGGGATTCTCTGCCTCCCATGACTAGAGAGAAAAGGAAAGCAAAAAATTTTGTTCCATAGGTCTGGATTTACTAATACACCTGCTCATCCATTATTTCATAGCTATGTTAAAACACCATTAAAGAAATGCATTTCTAAATTCCTGACTTGTCATGGAAAAGTAGGAGGGTACATTGGCTATTTCATATCATCTTGACTCTGCATACCATAGGAGTTGAAAAAACTGATCACCAAGCTATTCAAGAATCTCAAGGGAATTGTTGTCAAATTAACATTTTGGGGTAGGTGAAGACTAGTGAAATGTTGTGATACTTTATGTATGTCACTAGGTGGCATGAGAGTGCTACTGAAGGAGGAGGAGCTACTGGAGAAGTTTGATTCTAGGTAATAGATTATAGATTAGGATTTGTAACAGGAAACACAGCTTTTAATTTACTGTGGTCATTCACACCTCGGTACCCAGCTCAACAAGGCAATGAAGGACCAACACCATGATAGTCTGATTGCAGTGTGTGTGTGTGTGATTTCTAGAAATATATGCTTCTATAGATGTTTCCATTCTTTAGTGTGTCATGGTGACAAGTGGATATTTTGGGAGGCCTGGACTAAAATTATATGGTAGCTGTTGGTACCTCATTGTTAATATATTGATATAATAACAACTTGGGGTTTATAGAAGTAATAGAGCTGTTCAGCACTTTGCAAGTTTTATGAAAATATTTGCTCAAATGTAGATGGTGAGGAGGTGTGGAAAATGTGTTTGCAAAAAATATCATTTTTTGGTTTAGTTCTATTTAGTTTATATGTAGTTTTAAGAAATCTTAAAATATTCTTTGTTTGAGCTTTTTAATAAATATGCCCAGATGATCAGACAAGGCGTGTATTTCAAGAAAAATAAAGTGGGATTATTACTCAGTCTAGGTCCTACTAAAGAGGGGTTCCCATTGTAATGCTTTTATGAATGTTTGTATATCACTGCCCTGTTGGATTAAATATGAAACCTGTTCAAGAATATGCAATCATATCATCTTCTAGTACAGCCCTATAGATACAGTAACATCACTGGCTATCTCTGTGGAAAGACTGGACTGAAACAGGTTTAGGAACAAATCGTACTTTCAGAACAGGTTTCGAAGCATATAAGTAGGAAAGTATGGTGAAACTTGCTTTGCCCATTCCCATGCTGTACCTGTAACTTCAGATACATGACATTTGGTTTCCAGAACTGTCAGCTAAAGATATCTCACTAGCATTTCCGGCCCCCCCACCAAAAAACCAAAAAAAAAACCACACACAAAAAAAAAAAAAGAGAAAAGAAAAAGAAGAAAGAAAAAGATCACCTTGGAAGACTTAATCTTGATCATTATGAACTGGCTGATTCATTCATTTCCATGTGTGAATAGATGTATACTGACAGGAACATGAAAACAACTATAACCTATTTATGCTATAAAAAAAGCTCAGGTATTTTTTGTTTTTGAGCCATGAGGAAAGCAGCATCTTGAGGCAGAACTGGAAAAGAGTTAAAAGAAAACAAGATAGCTAAAATAAAGTCCAGTCTATGCCATTTCTGCAGACTGGTTGCCCAGAGGTTCCTAGCTGTTTCAGGCCCCAGGCTTCATTACAGAAGAAGTCCTACCTCCTTTTAAATTCTGAAGGGAATGTAACAATCTGTGTCTTGCAAATCAGGAGTGAGAATTATCTGTAGTTCCCTGTCAGGCTGGGTTACAGAAGAATCTTAGCTGTATTATTGAGCGGTGATTTCCCCTTCCGTCCCTGGGAAAGCAGTGAGGGCAAAGGGAGATCTTGTTTGATATGTAGTTATCTGGAGGGTCCCTTTAATGATTTTAGACTATTTGCATTCTTACTTTACTTAGGGTCTGGGCAAAATATACAGATTTTACTAAGATGGATGCAAGAAACCTGAAGCAAATGGATAAGATTTAAATTTGTTGAAGGAACAAAAAGCCATTACCATTGGCTTCCCACATGTTGCCATATTTTTAAAATCTTCTCTTCGCTCCCTGCCAGAAGCAGCGAATGCCTTAACTAACTTGTCTTTAAATAATCCATGCCTGTTGCATAGCAAACTTGGATCTGCTAGCATGACTTCATGTCTCCAGAGCAGGGTATTACATAACCTGTATATTGTAGCACTAAATACACTTCTCTTAAATGCACAGTATTCTCAGATAGTACCATGACATGGTTAGCTGTCTGACCCCGGGCCAGTTACTTGGGGCCAGGTCTATAACAAAACTTATGTACCTGAAGTGGAATGTAGGCAGATTCATAAAAGACACTGTACAACTGCTCCCTAGCCCCAGAGGTACTCGTGTCCTGTCAGGCTAGTACAGACAGTCAAAAAGCCCGAGGCTGAAGTGATTCAGTCTTTGCAGGTTAGTCTAAGCTGCACAGATTAAATTGAAACAGAAATGAATAGACATTTACCTTTGATTCAGGAAATGCAGCCACATACCTGCAGTGGTTCAGGCTAGAAGCTGGGGGGCACTACAGCATGGCTCTCTGACTGTGTGTTCACTTCCTCTTTCTGCTGCCCCTGACATCACTGGGATTTGCAGTCCAGAATTACAGCAGCAGGACTCTGCAGGGTTCCTCATCACTTCCTCTTCCTGCTTCCAGGTGCCTCTGGGATTTGCAGTCCACAGCCGCAACCAGTAGTAAGTTTGAGCCGGGGAAGGGGTGTTTAACCCCCCTCCCTGGCCACTTCCTGCTCCCGTCCCGTCTAGACTGGGCTGCATCCCCAGATGGGTTTGCCACTCCACCCCCTTATAAGCCAGTGCTTACTGCTCCAGCTAGGGAGTAGCCCTGCTCTCTGGAGCAGACAGCCCAGCCCAGGGCTGCAAAGCATGCTGGGATGCTGGGGGACTGTGATTTAATTTAAACTAGGAAGGGGTCTGAAGCAGACATTGCATAAACCAGTTTGACCCAAATCAGTTAAGTCTGATACTACATTCAACCAGGTTTATCTTTCCCGTTTCAGCCATTTTGAAACTGGCTTATGTGCACTGAGCTTCTGTTCTGTTATAGGTTTAAACCACTTTCTGGTCACTTAGACCAGTTTATGTGTAACTTCTGTCCCTAGTCTCAGAGCCTTAGATGTTGGTGTTGGTTTTCCCAGGTGTCTAAAGTTCTTCTGAACATGTCCAGAAGCAGAACTTCAATCTTGAGAGAGCTGAATAGCTCAGTACCTAGCTCATGCTTAAGCTCTGCCAGGTTCCAGAAACCAGGTGTTTGTCCACCTGTATACCCAAGTGGTTTGAAATGGTAGGTCAGGAGTGGCCAATCTGTCTCATGCAGATTAGGGATAGAGCAGGGAATACAGGAGTGGATAGGGCAGGGAGCAGAGCCACAGGTCAGGCAGGAAGCAGATTAGGGAGGGGAAGGAGATGAGTGGCACTTGGATAGAGTGCGTGGCTTACCTTATGGCATGCCTGCCAAAAAAAGGTTGGTCCCCACTGTGATAGGTGGTCTCATAGCGTACAGAATGCTGTTGTAACTACAATATTCATTTCTAATACAGCTGGAGGAAGTGGTCCTCCTCCCTTTTATATAACAGCCTAATAATTAGAGCAGTATAGTGATGCTACCAGGCCCAAGTTCTCGTTCCGTTTCTGCTTGAAAGGATTTAAATCAACCTCTCCCAAATTCTGGTCTGTGTCTGGAAAGAGAAGCGAGTATGACTTTATATCCTAATAGTTGAGGATCTTACCTGGGGAGGGGAATTCTGCATTCAGTCTAAAAACTGAAATCTAAAACAAGATACATCAGATCTCTCAAGGTACACTGGCACCTCTCCCTACATGACAGTTCTGTTAAGTTGCCCCAGCTAATTCTTTCACCATTCGTTACAGATGCACCTAAAAAGTAAAGACAGCTGGAGTGCATATAAATGAATGTGGTCATTTAGAACTGTGTAGCAGTACAAACAATGGCATATCTTCCTAATCTTTTTCTCATATCTGATTATAATATTCATAGATACTAAGACCAAGAGGAGCCATCTGCTCTCTGTTGGTCCAATGTTTTGCATAATCCAGGAGAGGGGATGTCATTTAATTATTCCTGTATTGAATCTAATAGCTTCAAGTAAGACATCCAGTGTTGATCTGAAGGTTTCAAGAGATACAGAATCAATTTCTTCCCTCAAAAGTTTTTATTAAACTTTGCATCACTCTTATTGCAACATTTTAAGTGATTAATGCCAGGGGCAGATCCAGAGGGGGCACAGTGATGCAGTCACACCCCACTTTCAGACCTTGCTATGAGAGCAGGAGCTTAAGTCTCTGCAGCAGCTAAGAATCCTCCCCCAGGATTAAGTTAAGTGGGGATTTCAAAATACATTTGAAAGAGAATGCATGGTTTTTGGTTGTAGCTGTGTTGGTTTAAGGACATAGGCAGGCAAGGTTCTTAGCACCCAAAAGCTTGCTAAGAACTTTTTTCCAACTACTCAGTTGGTCTAATAAAAAATATCACATCTACCCAAAGAACCTTGCCTGCCAAAGCTAATGCACTGCATCTGAGACTTGTGTAAGTCCACCCTAACCATGCAGTTGGTCCAATTAAAGATATTGCCTAAAAAAATCCTTGCCTCTCATAGAATTCATAATAGTAATTTTGGATTTATCCACCTAAATTCTGCCTATATATCTTGTTACTTCTGGCTTACCCTCTCTACCTTGCAAATGCTGAATACTTTATTGACAGATAACAAATCAATACGGTTAAGTCATTCTTAGAGGGTGCTTTGCTATCCTTGGATGAAAAACCCTGTAGAAAAAAAAGTGTGTGTATATATAAATAAATAAAAGATATGTTTAGAAATAAGCAATGTGTAACTTATAATAGTTCATCAGAAAAACCAGAAGTAACTGGAGCCATTCTGGAAACGTGTTTTCTAAAGAAAAGATGTGTTGATATTTCACTATGGTAACACTAGGTGGCACTGATGCATAGACATGACACCTGGAGAAGGGTCTGTTCCAATACCAAACTGTGGATCAAAGGGAAAGGTAGCTCTGGTTGAACATTTCTGCTCAGTCCATCAAGGTGGATTGGTGGTTGTGAGAGAAGGCAACATGGAAACCTTAGCTGAGTTCTTGTAGAGAAGCAAATATTACATTATTTGATCAGATCAAACTTGAGTAAATGAGAGCTTTTAAACTGCTTTCATTTGAATTATCTTAGTGCAGAGACTAAAAAGCATCTGATTTGCAAGGGCAATTGTAGTGAATACAATTAAAATTGATTGAGTGCAAACGTTTTAATTGTATAACATTTTGATTGATGACATCAATGAACAAATGTAATTAGGGATAATGGGAACATGTTTGGGGGCATTTAGAACCAACTTAGTCATTGGTTCTGTCTAGACATTTTGAACCCACCAAAGCTTTTGAAATCAGAAGTCCATTTCTTACTGCCACCTTTGGGAGTATGGAGGAAAGGGGAGAAAGCTTAAAAGAATTTTCTGCTTCTTTCAGCTCCTCTGCTATCCACTAGTGGGCTGAAGAAATGTTGAGGGTAAAGACACTGCAGTTTCAGCAACAGAAAAGAGACTTAATGCTGCCAGCAAGGGCGTTGCATCACCTACTCCCCTCCCTTGGTGTAGGGATGGGAAGTGTCTTATTTGGAAGCAAGAACGTGTACTAGAGGGTGCAGGAGCTAGAGCCTACAGTACTCTGGAATATCCTTCACCAGAAGAATGGTTCAGAGGAAGCCATTCTACCTGCTGTAGATCAGAACAGCCCTGAGGCTTCTCTAATTTGTCACAATAATCCAGTACCGAGATTGCACTAGACAGAAAGGTGGTACAATGTTTCCTCTGCCTCCTTGACTCTAAAGTGCATCATTTTAGGTGTATACAAGGATTGAATCACTGTCCTTATTAGCTGTCGGGGGAATACTGAACGTGGTATGTGCCCTCCATGCTATATCTTGATGACCCAGGTGAAGATATTCTGAGAGTTGGGTTTTACTACATTTTTTCCATAATCTTCACTGAACCAGAAGTTAGAAACTGGTCAGCAGCTGGCTATATTGTTCACGTTAAGGGTTGACTTTTTGAGCAGAAGCACACCTCTTTTCAGGGAATGGGTACCTTTGTCTCTGCAGAACAATCTTGAACAGCAAAAGACACTGTACCTTCTTGCTTGCCTTCACTAACTAAGAAAGACAAATGTTCAGATTACAGCTTGCAGCACTGAGTTCTTCCAACATGTCCTGAACCTTTGTTAGCAATGCAATCTGAAACTTGGAGAAGAATACACCTTTGTTCCATCCAGGTATTGCCTTGGCTCCTGAGAAGCAGCTAACTTGGTGCAAAGCCACTCCGTTTTTATCTGCAAAGCAAGCTGAAATTTCCTTACAATGGGATGGTCTTGCATCAGTCATCAAGTGCAGACAGTAACGGATAAGCCAGGCTCTCCACCATGATTTAAAAAATCTGCTG